TTCCATGTAAGAGAGTGGCTCAATTGTTTGCTGAGTTGAGTTGAAACTCATGCCCGCCACAATTCTTTGAAAGAAACGTGTTCTGAAGGGAGGAAAACAATTACGTCATCATAGCTCACTGCAACCTCAAACTCCTAGGCTCTGAGCCTAATCTTTAGTAAGTGGGTTAGAGAAATGAAATCCCCAGGCTTCACAAATTTCTATACTAGGCTGATGATTATTAACCTAGTATATATTAATAGATTATGAGGGCGAGAGGGCAGCAGTAGAAAACTGTCATGTCATAGATTTGATATACCATGTGGAGCCATTGAAGGATTTTACCAAGGGGAGTAAAAAAATTCAGATTTATAGGTGTGACAACACAATAGCACTTTGCATCTTACAGAACATTAATTTTTATATTATTGTGAATTATTTCTAGATGTAAAATTTAGCTTGCTTAAGACATCTCCTGAAGGCTGGCCTCCCAGAGAAAGAACTGACCTCTTTTAAAGTTCCACGTAAACTGCTATGGCCCAGTTTTTGAGGCGGTCAGTGCTAGTCAACCACAGGCTTGGACCCTAGGCCCCAGGCATGCCAGGGGTAGCTGTGGCTTCCCCCGCTGTGAACACTGATCAGGAAAACCCTGCAGCTGGCTTTCTACATCATACAGCTGCAACCACTTGACCAGGACCACAGCTTTCTGATTATGGCAGGGGAAGGGCTGTTGTTCCCCAAATCAAAAATGAAGCTGGAGTCAAAGTTCTGCAATGTCGTATTGCATTTTGTCCTGGTCCCTGATCAAGCCAAAACGTGAGCGGCTGCTTGCCTAATCATGCAGCTTAAAATCTCCCCAACTCAAGGGTGAGGGGGGCTCCCCCAGAATAGAAAACCCAGCCCTGACAGGTGGCTATGCTCTCCTGAATGAATAGGTAACAGGAAACCATGTACCCACTACTGACATGTTTTTGTGTATTTCATTCAACGAGCACTGCTCCAGGAGGTCTGGTGTGTATGACGTTTGCCAATTTGCCTTTGTTTGCATGATTATTTCATACAAACAACTATCATTAATGTACAGAGACTAATAAAATGAATATACTTGCACCCACAGCTTGGCTGAAGATTTAAACATTGCCAAAACCGTAAAAACCCCTGGCATTCCACTCCAGATGCGTCTTCTCCCTATCTCTCAGGGTTGATCAGTATTCTGACCTTTGTGTTTGCTCTTCCCTTAAAATCATACTGCTTAGTTTTATAGGTGTTTGAACTTTAATACCTAGTAACATACAGTAAAGACACTTTTGCAATTTGCTTTACATACAACATTGTGTTTCTGAGATTCATCTGTGTTTACGGGGATCACAGTAGTTGTCAAGCACACAAGACGAGGCAAGGCTGAGGCCTGATTTAGCCAGTTAAATACGATGAGCTATTTTTAGATTACGTGTGTTATTTTCATAGAGAGTGAAATAAAGAGTAGCCAAAGATGCCAGGTAACAGGGTTCCTGCCCAACACATCCCAAATTATGATACTTAAAAGGGATTGAATGACCATAATACCAGTTGTGGGATACTCCATTACTAGTAAGCAATTCTGGACTAGCGCTAAGTGGTTTTATAGTCTATAGCTATACCTTGCAAAAAGGCTTACATCTCATCAGTACCTGGGAAGTGATAAAAAAGCTAGGGGAGCGATAGGGAGGTGAGTGGGAGATGGCCTCACAAGCCACTTAGCCTCTTGTGTTCTAGGAAGAACACTAGGCATTCTGCCAAGACTCAGGTCAGCTGTGGTTCAGTCCTGTGTCGCGTATGTGGATACCTGCAAGGGCACCAATGCCTAAGGGCAGAGCATTCACCAGTAGAAGTTTGTTAATTTTCATTGCTATGTCTTGGTTTTGTATTCTATAAACAGCTATTATTTGTCAAATTTAATGTTGTTGGACATCCAGGTTGCTATAGTGTTTTTGTTTGTTTACATGGTACTGTAAACAAAACTAGTTTTAAAATTCTTATACATCTTTCCTGGTGCAGATGTGTAAGAATTATTTTAGGGTATATGTATTTGCCTAAGAATGGAATTATATGATCTAGGATACAGACTTAATTAACTCTACAAGATAATGTAAAATTGTTTTGCAAAATGTTTGTATCAGCTTTCACTAAAACACACACTATAATGATTTCTTCTGTTCCATATCCTCACAAACACTTGTTATTTCAGGCCTTAATTTTTTGCCAGTCTCATGCTGCATCTTGTTTTGATTAAAATCAGTATATCCCAGATGATTAATGAGTTAAGCATTTTTCAACATTTAATTTCCATTTGTATTTACTTCTTTGTGAAATATCTGATAATGCCTTTTCTTCATTTTTCTATAGGGTTGTTTGTAGTATTTTTATTTATTTGTAGGAACTATTCATATACTAATTTATGATTATTGATGCTACAAGTATTTCTTATCCATTTGTTGGTTGGCTTTTCACTTTATAGTTTCTTTTGATGAACAAAATTTCATTATTCTAATTTTAATTTAGTCAAATTAATTACTCTTTTTCTTTATTGTTTTTGGGTTTTTTTTGCATTTTAAAAAAGGTATGCTTTTTTACCCTGGTATCATAAACATGTTTTCCCACAACAAGTCCAAAAACTTTTAGAATTTTGCTTTTCACATTTAAGTCCTCAGCCTGCCTGGGGTAGGTTGGTGTGTGATGTGAGTGAGCGAGGGACCCAACTGTGCCAACACCAGGACCATTATTGAAAATATCTTTTCCCAATTGTAATGCTATCTCCGTCTTATATCAGCTTACCACATACGAATAGATTTGTTTGGGGGCTCTGCCTGTATTCTGTTGTATTAATCTTTCTTTCCTATCCCTGTGCTAATAACACATTATATTAATTTCCTTCTTCCTGAAGTAGACTCTTTGTCATGCTTCCAGTGAGCATCGATGAGGGGTAAATTGTCACTTCGTTTGAAAATATGTTTATTTCATACTCTTTGCTGAATTTCAATTTAAAGCATTATGAGATTTTAATTTGATAAGTATTTTATTTTGAGTGGATGTACCCAAATATTTAGCTTATCATACTATTGAATGAGGAAGCTTTCTATACAGCTTTGTTTTCTTTTTCTTCCTTACTGCGGAGTCTCTCTCCACGGTAATTTATTTTTCAACAGTAGTTACCCCTTGCCAAAGGACCCCTTGTGAAAAGGCAAACCAAGATGGATAAGTTCAGAGTTTCTACCTTCTCTTGCTGAAGTCGTATTTCTTTCGTCTACGTTCATTGTTTTCCTTTCCTGCCTGGAAATTAGATGCCTGTGGTAGACTTGAGATCTCTATCAGAACCTCGTTCACTCAGTATGAATACGGCCAAGAATGGTGTGAGGTGGTAGCAAATAGAGCATTTCAGCTGTAAGAGAAAAATTATAGGCATAAGGAAACAAATGTAATGAGCCAGAAACTGGTTCAGGCTATACCAATATGAGAAATAGTCACAAAATCTAATGTGACCCAGAGAGATAAACAAAATTTGACAAAGACATTTTGTATAAACCAATCAGTCTTTCACCCCACTCAGGTATTACGGGTCTGAAATATAGAGATCTTAGAATGCTTAATAATCCTGTCTAAACATAAATAATTCATGTTCATTTTATAGTAGAAGAAAATTAGTTCTGTAAAAACTGAGAAATTTGCCAATATCAATTGTCAAACAAGCAATACTGAGTAGCTGGAGTCAGTGGTTGCTGGTCTTTCTCCTAGGACCAAACACCCTGACCTGTTCAGCACAGGAGGCATTATGGAAACATTTTACTGTTAGGAATATTAGAGAAGTAAAACAGTAGTCATGGTCCTTATAGAGAACAGATGGCATTCACAAATTGGGAATTTGAACTGGTTTAATACAAGGATGATTTACAAAGATGTGGGCAAGTATAGAAAAATTACAAGGAATAGGGCTCATAACAGCCTGGCACATCACTATCCCTAGTCCTGAAGCAGTAAGAGGAAGGAGAACTGATCAGAGCCAGGAGAGGATATTCATAGGAGACACCTGACTATGATTTTCTGTTACAGGATGCAGTCAGCCTATGGCATCCCCACGGGGAAGGCTCCAGGGGAATAAATACCTCGACCTCACTCTCCTCCAGTCTCTTCCTGGCACTCTCCGTTGGCTGAACCCAACTGGAAGCCAGAGGGCAACGGCGTCCACTGAAGTAGTCAATATAGGTCAGCCTCCTGGGGCACAGAGCAATGTGGAGAGAGTGGAGAGTGGAGCTGGAGGGACAATCAGATGATACCCAGCACCAAAAATAAACATACTTCTGAGGAAAGTCATGTCCACAACAGGCAGAGAGGAAGAAACAGGCTTACATGAATAGATGTTGTTTAGAGTAAGCTAGATGGAAGAGTCTGCTTACTGAGAACGGTATTTAACATCAAAATGGGCTCTCAAATAATTGCATCTCTTTAAGATCCTTAAAAATAGGAAACACATATCCATCTCTATGAAATGATTTGGGAGAAATTGTACTGATGAAAGGCGTGTGGGTGGCTAAGATGACTTTGAAGGGTCCTTGTAACTTGAGGATTCAGTGTTCTAGGAGGAGTGATGGAAATCAGGGAACAGGATCTCCTGCAAAATATTCACAACTCTTTGAAATGGAAATCAGGCTATTCCAATTTGGGAATCAAATTAAAGCAAATATTCAGGGTGTTAGCGGGCTGTGCTCTGTGCCTGTTTGAAGTGGTAGCTAAAGGAGGGAGGCGTGCTTTTTCCTGGATGAAGTAGGATCTCACTCAGCCTGTTTTCATCTTTACTTAGCACCTGCTGGCTTGGAGTGGTGTCGCCCAAGCAATCAGACAGGGAGGATGTGCCAAGAGCCTGACCTCTCCACCCCACGTGTGCTGCCCCTCCCCGCCCCCCCAGTGACAGCTTGTCCTGATATAGATGGACGGGGGACTGGTTTAAAATGACAGTCTCAAGTTCATTTAGGAAGAGAAGGCTAATGCAAAGAAACAGCCAGGCGAGCTTCCTTTCTCTGTAGGAATAATTACTATCCCCCTTCGCCATGGCCCACTTGGGAGCCCATTTCGCCTTTAGATCCCGCTGGCAGAAGACCGACGATGAACTCTGTCGACATAGCATGTCCTTTATCCTTCACAAAGCCATTCGCAATGACTTCTTTCAGAGCTATCTCTACCTGCTGGAAAAAATTCCCCTGGGTAAGTGAGTCAGAGCCACCAGATAAGGGACAGGAAGTGACTGAAGGGATTGTGTGAGGTTGTGGGGCTTCTAGAGGAGAAGGTAGAACAAGGACGCTTTTCAGATTAAAAGAATGCACCACCAGTGTCAGTGGGCTGAAAGTTTCAATGGCATTCTTTTGTAGAGAGTATACAGATCAAGTGCCATGAATCAGGACTCTATTTTGAGGTTTCCTTGCATCCTCAGGCTCAGCAATTTGCCTCTCTGGGTGTCGGTTGCCTGAGTATCAGACTTGAAGAAACTCAGAAGGACACTTTTAATATTTGCAAAAATGTAGAGTTGGGCAAATTAGATAACTCAAATCTGACAGTATTGATGCAATAATGTATCAATAAGAGTTAAAAAGAAAGGCTAAACAGTAATAGACCAAAGTGTGTTTGGCGTGTGTTTGTGTGTGTGTATGCATGCATGTGTGTGTTTGTGCACACACTACGTATAATCTTCTCTGGCCTTCTTGAATCATGGGAATAATCAGATAGCCTAAAAGGAATAGATTTTAGTTTGGCCTTTGAACATTAAGAAAAAAGAAATCGAGGCAGCAGTCTGTCTCCATTTTTGTTATTTCCTCCAGTTTTCAGGGAATTGGACAATAGAGCAATAAAAAGCTTATCTGGCTCGTCTCTGCTACTTTTCTCAGCCTCTGTGAAAGTAGTTACTTCAAGGCACTCTAAACAGCACCGAAGAGGAAATGATTTACCATTAAAGAGTGAAATACCCCCCTTTGATTTATATTTTCCCCGATGAAAGCAGGAAGGTTGCGTATCTGCCCAGCCTGTTTTCCTAAGGTTGTCTGAAAGCCCCATTGTGCATTTGACGAGGCCAGGGTTTCCAGCTATGGAAGGAGCTACATCATTCTTTGTATTGCATTCAAGAAACTGGATGTTAGCAGCCTACCAAAATCTCCTTTTATAAATCCATTTCTGAGGGATCCTTAATTTTAAACATACAGTACCTTTGGCTCATATTTATATGACTTTCTTGTAAAAATTATTTTCTTGTCTCTGACTTTGATTCTCACAGCCACACTATGGGATAGGCAGGGTAAGTATCATTACTTTTTACTCCCAGCTTCCCACTTTCTCCCTCCCATTTTATTTTTTTAAGTGAGGGAAAGAAAATTCAGAGATGATGATATCTAATCCAGATAAATACCAAAGCAGCAACTAAAGTCCAGGGCTCTTTCTGGTAGATCACACTGCCCATAAGCAATTCTTTTAGGAAATAATACATCTCATTTATATCCAAATGGAAAAATTGGAGCAGTTCATTTGGAAGGTGACGATATTCTGGTCGCCTCATACATTGGCAGAGTATCACTTTTCTGGAGACACTCTTCGGGCCATACCTCAATAACAGTAGCTTGTAGCCTTGGTTGCATTAGACTGGAGAAAGACATCAATTACAATAATTGAGAAGAGACTCACTAAAGGGCAGATGACTGCCAAACTTTAAAAATAGTTACTAGAGAGAAAAGGAACTCCTCTCTGAAAGCAGATGAAAATGAATTAAAAAGTTAGAATAAAACAGTATCCTCTGAAAATCAGATGAAAATTAATTTGGGACAAGTAGACTATAAATTATATTTGGCTTCGATCCTTTTTTTTACCCTGTAAAATCATTTTGGGTTTATAGTAATTTTGATTTTGTCTGCTTTTCTCCTTTATGAATGTGCTGATGGTTTATCAATGATTTCCAACCTTTTAAAAAACATTATTATTAAAAGGCAAACTTTTTGCCAAAATATTCCATGGAAACCAAATGTAAACCACAGAAGAAAGTGAAACTTTTCTGCTTAGGACTGAGGACAGAGTTCTTTCCTTGGTCTGTCCTCTTAGCCTCAATAGTGGCTCATGAGGCCTTTCTATAACACCTAGAGGGTTCCATAAACACAGTTTGAAAACCATTAGTCTATTCCAAGCCAAAGTTTATTTTACTTAGTTGCAGTCTTCCATAAATGGGCACTGCTCATTTTCTCTGACCCTGGTGATTCAGCCCAAGCATTAGTTTCTCCTGAGAGTCACAGAACTAGCCTCATCCACAATACCTATTTGATAATAGAAATTGAGGGCTATATTAGTCAGTATGGACTGGGCTATGCTGCAATAACAAATTAACTCTGAAATCATAATAGCCAAACACATAAAAGTTCATTTTTTACTTTTGCTACATCATTTCAACATGCATTCTTAGGGGTAGGAGGGAGGCTATATTCCATACGGCATTCAAGGATCCAGGATGATTGATAGAGGCTCCACCAGCTGGAATATCACTAGTCACCAATGCAAGGGAAGAGAGTAGCTAAAGGTTATTCACCAGTTCTTAAATATTTTGGCCCCAAAGGACATACATTACATCTGTTCAGAATCTGTTGCCCAGAACTACAAGGATGCGGGGCAATGTGAAGGGACCACATGTATATTTGGTCACAAGTAAATGTTTCTGTCACAAGGGAAAAACATTGCTTTCTAGAGATAGAAAACACCAGACATTTCTTCTGTCTGATCAGTTCAGTCATATTCAATGCAAGAGACACTTTAGGAATTCTCGTTATTGAACAAATACTGTGCCCTGGAGAAGATTCAGACAGTAACAAGACACAGCCCCTGTTCTTCAGGATTTTATAATCTGGTAAATGAGGCAAATCTACAGATAACTTTGTATTTATCTTTTAAAATTGATGGTGCAGGGAAGGCAGGCTGTCAGCTCTGTGAATGCTCAGACTTTTTGCAGCTTTTTCTTCTCATGACAGAAGCTGAATGTTCAGAAAGGAATCAGCATATAATTCTCATCTGCCAGTGTGAATTTTATCCAATTAGAAGGCTTCCCTTAACCCTTGATTAACTCTCTTAAACCCTGGTTTTTTTCCCAGGAGGTTATAACTTATATTATGGGATGCATTTGTACATATTAA